AAAGTAAGACATTTTGTTAGGTACTTGAACTTCAAAATTTGAATGATGTACCTAATTGTTGTTAGATTTATGAATCAATTTTAGAGATGAGTCCTGTGAAGTGTGAATATTAAACAAACTGTATATAGGTATAGGAGTTCTCAAATGTATATGCTTAAAAATACAACTTATGTATGTAGGAATTGATTTATGGTTAATAATTTATCAATCTATGGGTATTTTTCTGAAAAGTAAATCATGACTATTGTTAAGTTTTCCACATTGTTGAATTGTTAAGAGTGGAATAGATTACAGAACATGATTCCACCATTACCCTTAATAATACTTGGACAACTAAGTAGGTACACAGTTAAAAAAATGTTCAAAATAGTCAACAGTTTGTAGGATTTATTCATTCAGTAAACAAGACAGCAGCTTCACTGAATAGTAGAAAAGGAAAAATCAGGGTACAGCCTACTTCAATAAGTAGGAGAAAACAAGGAGTAACTCGTGGTTCAAAAAGACTACCATTTTAAAGAAGACCAAAAGAATATGTCGCTAAAGGAAAGCCTAAACGACAAGACAATTTATGTAAAAATATATCGAACAATGTAATGAACTCTAAGCGTCATTAACGTTTATACAATAATATTTGTTTTCAAAATAATGTCAGTAGTGTTACACTGCAGTATTGTACAGTATTTGAACTTTTAAGTTTCAAGATGTACCAAGATATATATTTTTGCTTTGTATTTTACAGCAGTTTAAGGTTGAATGATAGAAGTTAATGTAGGTATTGATATGTAAAAAAATTATAAGTAATATGTAACTATGCAATTTTTTATCTATTATTTTATAATTAATATAATTCCTAATATTTTATTGTTCAAAATTTATTTTAAAACATACTCAAACTTTTAAATGATTCAGGTTATACAAAAAAAAAAAGCATACCTATCTGATTTTTAATTATAATATCATATTATACTAGAAAATTCCATTTATTTTGTTTAGTATTATACTATCTAGCTAAGAATATAATTCTGTTAGCTAGTAGTATATAATATATGCTTCTCAACTACAAACATAGATAAAAATGACTACGTACATATAATCAGAAATTACTAATAAGTGTAGGCGGCACTTGGTTGTATTCAGTATTTTAAGGGGAAGGGGGGGATAATTATAAATAAAAAATTCTCACCACCACACCACCAAACGAGCTTTATATTTATGATTTATTTTTTGTGCACACTTTGTTAAAATAAATGTTAATATTAATATTTAGTAATGTATAACCACTGAAGGATTGTAATATTAATTATATTTAAAACACTTTTTAAATTAGGTAATTTAAATACTGTCTTGATTATATTTCTAATTAAAAATCAAAACTTGCCTAGTTTATTTAAATACTTTTAAAAATTCAAAAAATCACATTTTAGATTATTTTTCACTTGTAACTATTGAAGTATTTCAGAATTAAAATATAATAATATTTTATTTATTTTAACTTTTCAATTTAATATTACAATAGTACAAAGATAAGTACTAATGACAGTATGACACTTATAATAATATGTGACAAAACAATTTTAAAATAGTAATTACAAAATCAAAAAAAAATATTATTTTCAATATTGGTTATAATCTAGTAAGAAATAATAATTATTACCTATTTAGTCACTAGATGATAATTATTATTTCATTTTTAACTTTAAAACCTGACAAAAAAAAATTCGATTTACATATTCAAAATTAAAATAGAAATTATAGGTCTATAAAAAAGTAAAATGTTTATAATTAAATAGTTTACCTGCTTAATAAATTATGTATTTTCTAAATTATAATAATATGTAAGATTATATAATATATAATTGTGAAGACATTTTTTTATATTTATTATATTTTTTTATTGATAAAAGATAATAGATTATATTGTTAGATTATATTATAATATTTGGCCCGTATTTTAATCGATCCAATGAAAGCGGCGTATTATAGAGAGGCTCTGGGGCTCTATAGTGTTTGGTAATACGCTTCCCGGCGCTCACCTTTCGTCCGCGACTTTATTGCCGATAACAGCGCAGTGCACAGGCCGCGACGTCAAAACCAGTCGTCGTCACCGCCGCCACTGCCGCCGATTCCGTGACCAGTGTTGAGACTTATCTAGATAAATTTATCTAGATATTTCATCTAGATAATATTTATTTATATTTTATCTTATCTAGATGAAAATGTGGATAGGTATCTAAGGGTTATCTAAGATAAAAAAATCGTTATCTTTTTAGTTTTTAGTAATTATCTAGATAATATAAGTAAATCGAAAAAAAATTTTTTTTGAGCGCCCTGTATGCATGCAACTCATCTATGGAGTCCAATTTATATTTTTATGAATGTCAAATAGAAAATAGTCATAATGTTAAATATAGTAAAACACGATCAACAAAAATAATAATAATTATACGAACGTCGTATTATAATATTATAAATGTATAAACTATCCTCAAAAAAACTACTTCGGAAAAGTAAAAAAGGCTTTCTGTGCGTAAGTTGAAGAGATTGGGAGAAAAGATAGAACTTTGGTGTTAATAAAGATGTGAAATCAATCTCAAAGTTCTGTGCCAAAAAGGGCCACTGTTGAAAAAATAGAATTTGGGGCTTAATAAAGAAGTGAAATCAATACCCAAATTATGTGCCTCAACTTGAAAAAATATCTTATTCAAAAAAATTTCGAGATGTTCAACTGTACAAACATTAAAAAAAAATATTAGCACAGAACGGCGTACAATAATGATGAATTAATAAAATTAGCCATAAATTGTCGACTTGTTTACGAGTTAATCTGTTTGATTCGAATTTTTGTTGACAAACTGTAATTCACGCCGTTCTGTGCTAATATTTTTTTTTAATGTTTGTACAGTTGAACATCTCGAAATTTTTTTGAATAAGATATTTTTCAAGTTGAGGCACATAATTTGGGTATTGATTTCACTTCTTTATTAAGCCTCAAATTCTATTTTTTCAACCGTGGCCCTTTTTGGCACAGAACTTTGAGATTGATTTCACATCTTTATTAACACCAAAGTTCTATCTTTTCTCCCAATCTCTTCAACTTACGCACAGAAATCCTTTTTTACTTCTCCGAAGTAGTTTTTTTGAGGATTTCAATTATTTTTCCGAAGCACGTTTTACTGTGATATACTGAGGTTTATCGTTTATATTTTATATTATATTTATGGATTATGTACATTTTTTCTAATTATTATTTTTATTTGTGAATAATAATTCTATAAAAATAGAAATACAATATAAATGTTTATAATTATATAATATATAATTTGTAACGTTCAGTGTAGTTTAAGGTCAGTTGTAAATATATGTTATATTTACATTACTATATTATCGGGTATTGGTAATGCGCCGCGCGTCAGTGTACAAAATCTCCCGCACCACCGCCGCACCCACTACCATCTCTGTCGCAATCACACTATTATATATTATATTACCGGCCTCCCACTAATTTATTTATTAATTTATTTATTTTTTCTCTTCTTCGTCTTCCTGCTGCCTACGGTGACACTAGTCCCGGGTTATTATTTTTACCACGGTGTTGTGTTTTTTTGGCAACATGGAGTAGCGGCCGTTGGAGTTTTCCCCGGCGATGCCCGCGGAAAAGGTGGCGTTAGTGGTGAAAACGGGTAATCAGACATCGACGGGTGTCTGGTTCCTTGACCGTGTATACACTTAATATGTACGTATGATTATTGGTATTTTTGTGTATCTGGCCGGTACAAATGTACAATATGTTTTAATATGCTTTTTTTATATTATTATTACCACCGCCTGTTCGGATTATGGTTATTGTTATTATTGCCGTTACCTTTATTAAGACCGAGTTTTACGCCCGTCCGAGCTTTCTCGGCACCAAATTAATATAACCAACTCAAAACACCTTATGCCGTCTATTGAGTTTTTATTTATTATTATTATTACTGTCACCCATATGTCCATCCTTTGAGTATATATCATTAAATTACTATGCTAAAAAAAAAAAAAGAAAAGAAATCCACGACGCTCCGGCCCTTCGGGTCTCGGCTCGTGGTTGGCGGCCTTGCCCAAACCGGCGGGTAACCACATGACTCTCGAGCCATGAGTAATATGTCTCAAGTTGTCACAAATTATTAATTATAAATTTATATTAATAACACAATTATTTAATAATAATTATTATTATTATAGTATTTAAATAGTAATAATAGGTACATATTTACGTATCTGTTGTTTTGTAACAATAAATCGCTTAAAATAACGTATGTAATAATGTAAATGCACGAGACCTCGGTATCGCAACAACGCGAGTACGTAAAAAATATTTTATAATATAATAAAAATACCTAAATAATAATTAATATTAATTCTGCAAACGTAAAACTAGCTAGCTGTAAATAGCTGTTGTTGTGGGTGAGGTTCGTGGTACGGTAGCGGCCGGCGCGTGGCGGTTGCTACGGCGCGGCGTTGGATGACGTTGCTATGACGGACGAAAGAAAAAGACTCACAAAACTGCAGTTTTTAGCTCTGTCTCTCTCGCACTCTGCATTCAACCAATGCGTGTGAGTGAGAGGTCCGAGCGCCGAAACGAAACTTAATGTATAATAGTCTCGCTATCGGTTGTCAAGGTGCTGTTTCTTATCGGTGTTACTTATGCACAGAAAGGAGTCTCTAGCGAGACTCTTCGATCAAGCTTTTAACAGGAAAAAATTAATTCCCAATCTATAAATAGACCAAAATGAAATTAAATTATTACGCCAATGATAATAATATGACTTTAACTATGGGCACTAGGTATTTTATACTACGCCACTACGCGCGGATAATTTTAGTAATAAATAATAATATCATAATATTATTGATTGTGCTTTGTTATAACTTATAAGTCGGTACTTATCACTAATAAATTGCTATCCGTATTTTCATTTTGATATCCGTTGATATTTTAGTAATTTAAATTAATTATAAAAATGAAACGGTTCATGACCGATTTAAATGTGGATACCTCGGTGAAAAAAAAAATGCATAACACTCAGTCATTGGAACTCGGATACGTGGATGATCCTTCTACTACAATTCAGCATGCAAATGAAACTACTAATACTGAATCCGCTGCTGCAGAATTGTCCAAAATGTCATACTTGTTTGATGGTGAGTTATACAACAATGTTTCACTTGATGGCATTAAAGTTTCTGCTAAATGTACTACATGTTTCAAAGTAATTAATGGCCATACAACATCAACTGGAAATTTCCTCAGTCACATAAAGGTAGGTACCTATTTTTTTTATTGTTATTTATTTATTTATTTATTGCTATAATATTTATTTATTTATTGCTATAATATTTACAATTACCTAATTTTATATATTTCATTTTACAGATTAAACATAGTTTTATGATGTCTAAGGTACAAGCAAAAAAAGATGCTAAAAAGAAAAAAGTATTTTTCTTTTTTCTATATGTAAAATAAAAAAAAATGAATGGATATTCTTAGATGAGTACACCAAAGTAATGGGTCCACTGGCAACATCATTAGATAAGCTTCAGGGCGAAAAGTCATGTTTTCTAGGCTATGTGGCTCCTTCTATATTGGCATTAAGACTTCCTATGATACAAATGAATGACTTAATACATTGTAGAACTTTATGTTTGAAAATAATTAGTAGTATTGAAAAGAGATTTGATTACATAATTGATTTGAAAAAAATAAAAAGTAAGCCATACATTTTATCTGCAATTAGTCATCCTAAATTCAAACTGACATGGGTACCTGAAAGATATAAATCTTACTGTAAACAAATGTTTTTAGAAGAATGCATTTCAATAAGTTCTTCTTCAGTCGACAATCTCAATACAGAAGTAGATTTGGACGATAATACTAGTGATGACGATTTTTTTCAAATTTTATCTGAACGTCCCAGTAGCTCATATTCCAATTTAGACTTGGATGTAAACAACCAAAAAAATCAAAATTTTGTAAATAATCAAATTTCATCGTATTTAAATACTACCAATAAAGATTTAACTTTTCTTGATTCATATTCAATAATAAAACAAATTTTTTTCAAATATAACACATTTCTCCCATCATCTGCACCCGTTGAACGCTTATTTAGTAGTGGCTCTCAAATAATGACACCCAGAAGAAATCGTCTAAACGATAAGACTTTTGAAATGCTGCTTTGTTGTAGGTGTCTTCAACTTAACAAATAAAACTTTCCCAACATTTTTTTAAAATGTATATATTATTATTATTTTTTTTTTTTATTTTAAAGTTGAAAAGTAATAACTGATTATGTATAAAGTATAATATTACACTTATTAATTATTTAAAAATATTCATTATTATTATGCATTATGTAAAATTTTAATTTGGAATTTTTATGTTATTAATAAAAAGAGATTTTTGTTTGGAAGAATTGTTTTGTATTATAATGCTTAAAATTTTAAATGTTTCTTATGCATATTTTGTAATGTCATTAAATACAATATAAATGTTTTAAAAATGGTTTATTTAAGTAGTTATTTAATAACAATTTAAACTTCAAAATTGATTAATTTTTATGGTACCTACTATAAGATAGAGTACTTAATTGAATAAGTCTCATTGTTCAACTTTTAATTCATTTTAAAACACAAATTATACTTATATTAATCTTTTAAATTATGTAAGTAAGAATGACCAATGGCCAATGGGTAAACATATATAAAACAAATTGTGGAATATTGATGGTCATTAGTAGTATAAATAGGGGGCTTCTGATGCCACAACCCATTATACCATTATCCTTGCATTATCCCCACAACCCACAACCCACAACCTATTATCCTTGCATTATCCCAACAACCCACAACCCACAACCACAACCACAACCCACAACCACAACCACAACCCACAACCGCATCCTCATCACTCATCACACCGCCCGCTGACGTGCGTGACTTATATTATTGTTATCACATGTTATCAGTGTTATCATATTTTATCACTGTTATCATATTATTTCCGTTATCACACCGCCGCCGCCACCCGGGGAAAATAAGCTAAAAATTTTTTTCCGGACCGGGATTCGAACCCGAGTCCGTCGGCTTGGCCAGCGATCACCGTACCACTGCGCCACCCCGACACATATACTTTATATTAAGAACTTGCCATATTTAACGGATACAAAGAACTGCAAAAGAAACATTTAATAATAGGTTGCAGCTGCGCGTATTGTCATTAGTAAATCCGTTCGCACGCTCGCCGAACAATCAATAAATGACCATTATACCTATAGTATATCGAATAAAAGATACCAATTAATGAAAAATACATTAACCCTAATAGCCTAATTATTGTCATTACCAGGAGCTGCGCGTATTGTCATTAGTAAATCCGTTCGCACGCTCGCCGAACAATCAATTGTCATTAGTAAATCCGTTCGCACGCTCGCCGAACAATCAATAAATGACCATTATACCTATAGTATATCGAATAGAAGAAGCATTAGCTATCAATTCAGCCTGTATAATAATAGTCAGTCTACAGACTGTCGCCAGGATGTCGCGGATTCTTAATAGCCACCTCACAAGTGTGCACCCATCTTAACATTAGACCACAATGGTGCTTCGTCGTATATTTCCTGCCATTAGATATTATTCGTATTCAATATTTGTTCACACACAAGGAAACATTATAAAATAATCAATAAATGACCATTATACCTATAGTATATCGAATAGAAGATACCAATTAATGAAAAATACATTAACCCTAATAGCCTAATTATTGTCTTGGTCATCACCAACCGCCAAGATGTCGCCGACTCTTAATAGTCATTTTGAATCGAAATTCTTAATAGCCACCTCTCATAATAATTCAAGTATCTACCACAAGAAGCATTAGCGTACCTCTGCTTATATATATCACCGAGTATAGCTGAAACGGTTTAGTCTACCCGACACATTCATCGTTCTCGTTCCAACTTTAAAAAATTTCCAACGTTGAAACATTTTTACAAGTGTTTTTCTTTTCGTTTTCATTTTTCTATCATCATTACCTTAAACATTTTAAAAATGTTTCAATGCGAACAGTGCCCTTCGGTTTTCACCATGAAACAAAATTTGACTAACCATCAAAACAAGCATGCGGGTATACGTTTTCCGTGCACTGTATGTCCTTCGACATTCACATACAAGTCTGGCCTCATCAAACATACGAAGAACATTCATGGTATGTATTAATAATATAAAGTTTTATTTCTATCTTATACAATATTAATTTATATATCGTCAACGTTCCGGCTCATTTGAGACCAGCTACGCCGATCACCGCTCAACCAGCACGTCCAAGCGTCAAACAGCTCGCACCTCTTGCCGCTCTGCAGGGAGATATTCAAATCGCGCCGCAGATATTTGTCCCCGATGTTCCTGCTGGTGGCTCGAACATGATGTCCGAGGACGAGATTTGCATGGCAGCTATGGACGAATTCGAAGATACAGGTTAGTTTTGAAACCCGAATTAATTAGATTATTAAAATAATTTACCCGCCGTGGATTAATTACACAAAGACATATATCGTTATATTATAAACTAAGGTTGATTAGATTCGATACCACTTTTTTTATTTACATTAGATATTAATTAGGATTTTTTTTTCTTTTAAAGATTCTTACACCGTTCCCGTTAACGGGAAACGTGTTTCGACTGCCAACACCGTGTCGGCTGCTAGAGCAAAAAAAATTAGGATGGACATGGTTAAGACTCCTGGGTTCACTGAAATTTCCTCGTCAGCGAATCGAAAAATTGTGTGGTATTATGCCAAAAATATTAACAACGTTCGAAATTATCCCAACTTTCTCCGCTCGCTCATGCCTGAGCTTGAACATTTATTGAAAACACGCGTTCAACAAGGGGCGATTAAATTCAATTTAAAGCTTGAGGCTACGTACAACCGGCCCAACGTCCTCAATTCGTCGGAGAACCGGGCATTTAAGACAGTGGCAGTAGAAATTTTCTCAGATAGTGACATTAGTACGATCATTGAGAGGGCGTATATAAAGTTGTTGAAGGAGGAGGAGGAGTATAAGTCACGCGGGAGTGGATTTACTCTGGAGACAATAGACGGCTTATTATTAGGAATATACAATTACACACCAATGACTGGGTCGTCATATATTGAATTACCGGCGTATATCGATAGGAAACGGGCCACCATTAACCCACAAAACAATGACCAGCAATGTTTTAAGTGGGCAATTCTGGCGAAGCATGTGACAGGTTCAGTGGTATATCGTATCGGAGAAAATTATAAAAAACACGAGGACAAATATAATTTTGACAGTATTTCGTTCCCTACACCTTTATCGGATATCTCCAAATTAGAAAAAAATAATATCAACGTGTCCATTAACGTCTATGGAGTAGAGAAAAAGTTCCAGCCACCGCGTAAATATCCGACGTACGAGGTGTATCCGTTACGTGTGGTCGACGAGGAGAAATCAGACCACTTCGACCTGCTGTTAATAACGGACGGCGACAATGCACATTATATATATATTTCCAATTTTTCCCGGCTCATACGCAAGCAGAAAACATCACATAAGGAGAGTGTCGTGTTTTGTAAAAGGTGTTTTACTAGTTTCGATGATAGACGACATAAATACAAGCTGAGCGGACAGGAGGCGCTGAATCAACACAAGCTTATATGCGGTGCACATAAGCCAATATTACCGGTGATGCCTAAGGAGGGAGAGTGTCTGCAATTTGAAGCATGGAGAAACACTCAGAGACATCCTATAGTAATATATGCAGATTTCGAAACTATACTTATGAAGACGGATGATAAGAAGGGGGGAAATACAAAAATAATGCACAGACATGAAGCGATGAGCTATGGACTCATTGTGAAGGCGAGCAATGACGTACCGACAGAGCTATTAGCGAGACACGAGATACCAACGGAACCAATATTATATCGAGGAAGTGAGAGTCAGCCTGATGTGGCGAGACATTTTGTCGAAACCGTGACGGATATATCGTTGAAGATTGAGAAATTATTGAAGACGAATATTCCGATAAATATGTCCGCAGACGACATACAAGTTCATGAAGCAGCGACGCACTGCAATCTATGCAAAATTGAGTTTACCCCACCTTCAGAGGTACTATATCGTAAGACAGCTGACCATTGCCATCTCACAGGAAAATACCGTCAAGCTCTCTGCAATGTATGCAACCAAAAACTACAAACACCCGTTTTTGTACCGTGCTACTTCCATAACGAGTACACAGATAGTTGGAGCAGGTTGGATGAAGAGAGACTACCGAGAAAGAGAGACTTTTATAGCACGTTAAACGAGTCGGGAATAAAGGAGGAGGAATACACGCATGCAAAGGAGGTCTGGGACCACTTTGGCTGCAAGACGTTGGGCGAGTACAGTGATCTGTACTTGAAAATCGACGTGTTGCTGTTGGCGGACGTCTTTGAAAATGTTCGTGATGTGTGCATAAAGACATACAACTTGGACGCGGCGTATTATTTTACTGCACCAGGATTGAGTTTTGACGCGATGTTGAAGTTTACCGGGAAAAAGTTGGAGCTGTTGAGTGATTACGATATGTTATTAATGTATGAGAATGGTTAGTATATTATTTATAAAATATGAATATAATAATAATCTTATTAATTTTTTAGGTATTCGTGGTGGATTAGTGCAGGCAAGCATGAGACATGCCAAAGCGAATAATATAAATACCCCAGACTATGACGAAACTAAGGAGAAATCGTGGTTGATATACCAGGACTGTAAATATATTTATTTATTTATTTATTCATTTTTTACAAACTTAAACTTTACAGGTAATAATCTCTATGGCTATGCTATGTGTCAGTATATGCCATACGGTGACTTCAATTGGGCTGAACCGTCTCTTAACGGATTAGCTGATTTAAACGACACATCAGACAAAGGGCGAGTATACGAAATTGATGTCTCATACCCGCAAAAATTACACGACAAACATAACGACCTGCCCTTCCTGCCACAAAACGGTATACCACGCGGGTCGAAAGTGAAAAAATTGATGGCGACGTTTCAGCAGAAGAAAAATTATATTATACATTACCGGAACCTACAACAGGCAATTGAAAATGGGTTAATAGTTGAAAAAGTAAATATTTTTATTTTACAAGATTTAAATTAAATTAAATTTTTAACATTATATCTTA